AGGACTTAAATAATAGGGTTTTAGGGCCCAAATACTATAATATTAATGGTATTTGGGCCCTAAAACCCTACTATTTGGGTCCTTGGACCCTTTGGGTTACCTTTACAACAAAATCCCTAAATTACCCGTCCTCCCTCTAACCCTCAGAGCTTCGGTTGCGAACCGCATGTTGGGTCCTCTTTCTTCCCGTGTGCTAGCGGAATAGTTTCTCGTGGAGGCTATTCTTTTCAGGCTCTTTGTGCAACAGACTTCTCTTTGTCAATATCAGGTTGTTCCCTCAAATAGGGCAACTTCAAAATATAATTATGAACGCTATAGCGCGCCCGCCTCGGCTGGCACAGGGCGGAGCACACGAATAGGTCATGGTATGTAGTTCACACGTGGGGTTTAGAGTCGAGGGAGTAACGGAGGAGAGCCTCACTTCGGACGTGTTTGTTGCATGCCTGTTCCAACATTCATGCAAGGGGGTTGGCTGGGCTTTTTCGATCAGCCTCTAGTGAGGGAGTTCGCAAGCTTCGAGACCGTAGAACCGGCCTCAAGGAGCAGGGCAGTTTTTTAGGGTTGGAACCCCGTTTGCAATTCGCCGCTGCTGGTGGGATGCTGGAATTTTCCTGACCGCCGAAGAAGGCGGCGGTCAACAGTCGGGGGAGGGGGGCGTAGCGGGGGGGAGGTGAAGGGGTGGGGGGTACTGGGGGAGGGGTGGGAATGGGTACTGATTTGGAACGAGCTGGAATTTCACGTGCATTGGTCGGGCTGGACTAGGCCACTCTTGGAGGGGGGGGGGGTGGGCAGGCAAGGAGGTGTTCTGCAAAGGCGGAGTGGAGGGGGTTTCAAAGGTTCCAGACGCCCTGAGGCTGGACAGCCTCGGCGAATATACATATATAATACATATATACATATATACATATACTAGTTACTAGTTACTATGGGAACCCGAGAAAGGTACCCACAATTTGGGGAAGCGGGAAGCCCCCATACCTCCCTAAAGCCTAAACCCTAAAACCTTCAAACCTAAAACCCTAAACCCTAAAACCCTAAACCCTAATGGCCCTTCTAGCTTGCAGCTTGCTTTCCAAACCCTGCTTTCACTTCAGCTTACCTTTGGCTAGCTGGGAACGAAGGAATGGAAGAGGAACTGGAAACTGCCATAACGTGTGTAGGTTTCAGGGTCTAGAAGGAATGGACAAGAGAATGGAAACAGCTATAATCGGTTAAGAAGGTTGAGTGAAGGGAAAAGAAAACGGAAACTACTATCATGGGTTATATAGGCACTACTATAAGGATCCCCTCCTTCATTCCCTACCTAACCAAAAGTAGTTGGGGGTTATGACAGGTGTGAGGGCTAGTAAGTTGCAAGGGTGGTAAGCTGACTGGGGGGCGGGTTACCAGGGAATACGGGAAGGTATTATATAGGGATTCTATAGAGATTTTTCCCTTCTTCCCTGCTAAGCCCCAGTGAGTACACGCAAGGGCATGCAAGGGTTGCCGGCACAAGTTTCGTTTCCCTAAGCGCTAAACCCTAAACGTTTACCTACCAAGTATCCCCACCTGTGGATTTGTTAGACTCATACGGCAAACAAGACAGTACTGAGCATGCTTCAGAAAACTTCCAATTTCAGCCCTAGACCCTTGTTCATAGGGAATGCAGGGCTGGATCCCTATGGTTCCCCTATGTAATCCCTACTAGCAACTTGTACCTAAACCCAGAAGGGTGGTAGGGTGCTTATGTAACCATACCTGTGACTCCAATTACCCGCAGTTGGGTAGCAATTAACCGTTGGTTAGCTGGTATATTTATAAAGCTGTAGGTAATTAGGGTTCCAGGTAAACCCTATATACCTTGACCCTATGACTCCAGTTACCCGCACTTGAGTAGTAGTTACCCTTTTAGCAGGTGTAACACATAAAGCGGTAGGTACTTGGGATTACAGGTTTTAGGGTTTAGGGTTTTATGGTTTAGCTCTAGGTAATTAGGTTACAAGTAAACCCTAAGCCCTGCAAGTCCCAAACCGTGTGGGAGCGTCAGGGCTGGAAATGAACAGCCCAGCATGGACCTCGCGGCTGAGGCTTTCCTCTTGGGTTACAGGGTTTAGGGTTGGGTTTAGAGTTTAGGGTTTAGAGTTATAGCCCCCCTTAAGTAGACAGAATATGGTTTTTGTGTATGTTATAGTAGGATCCCCATATACACCATATTATGTCTACTTAAGGGGGACTATAGGCTGATAAAATTAGGTTTAGGGTTTAGGCGGTGTACGGCCTAGGCATACAAACAGAGGTTTTGGGCTTGGAGTAAAGGTTGGGGTCAGGGTTCAGGGCTCACAGAGCTCCGGGTTTAGGGTATATGGAGATGTGTAGGGGCGTTTAACACATGAAAACAAAACTTGACATGACTATACGCGTTGTATAGATTTCGGTGCTAAACGCGCTTTGGCAGCCTAAATCCCCAACATAAGGACACGGTTAATTGGCTTAGGGTTTAGGGCTTAGGGTTCGCAGGATTTATGGTTCGGGGTTTGCTGGGTTTGCAGGGGTCACTCTCTCAGCGGTTCTTAGGTGGACTTAGTCAGTATACGTATAGCCCCTATAAGCCACATGGGGGTTGTTCTACAGGTCCTGGCGAAAAAACACACCATAGGGAGTACACTTCCTTAAGAGGGCATCCTCACCAATATAGTAACCTATCTCATGGTCATTTTGAACAACTACCACATAGCAACCCCATTATCAACCTACTTGCTTAGTCCTCCGATTCCTCCAAGTTGGTTGTAGGAATGAAGGCATGGAACACCCTAAACCCTAAACCTATATCAGACACTCACGTACAGAACCCCACCTGACATTTGCACTTTCGACTCTTTCCTTGCACGCAATCCTGAATGCAACGTTCGTCCTATGGCTCCAAGTAGCTCGGTGCAGGTCTAGGGTTTAGGGTTTAGGGTTTAGGTGATATTTATAGACTAGACTTTAGCGCCCAATGTAGGTTTCATTTCTGATGGACTGGTAGCCCTATGTAACCCCTATACAGTATAATCCTAGGTTCCATTCCATATTGCATGTGGTTCTGCATGTTTTATAGACATAAAGCTTCAAGAATTTCCTTCCGTCATAGACGCAGAGCCCTATGTATCCCCAATATGCCACCAGCTTCCATTTCATGTTTATCTTTTCCAGATGAGCATTTTTTACGGGTTATTTCCCATAACCCTGAACTCTGAATAGTAGCCTCGATGTTCTTTTCCATTATTGCTACATATAATCCATATCTCATGTCGGTAGTAGTTCTGCGAGGCCCAGGGCTCGAGGTGGCAAAAAGCGTGCCTTTGCGAATTAGACACCATCATTCACAATACCACAGTTACAATTGCTGTTGCTGCAGTTCTTGCCGAGTTGTGCTGCCGCCGCTGCCCAGGCAACAATACCCCAAACCCTAAAACCCTAAACCCTAATGCCTCTCCATCTGCTTGTCCACTCTGAGTTATCATTCTGACGCATATGCCCGCAGCTTTTGGTTAATCCAGCTTGCCGTGATTACAGGGTTTAGGGCTTGGGCTTGGGGGTTTCCCCAAATTAGGGGTACCTTGTTTGGTCCATAATAAGGATTATAGCATCTTGAGGTCTATATTGGGGTCCCCTATTTAGGAAACTACCATGTCGCATGCAGCGGCTTCAAAAGCAGCAAGCTTGATCTAGTAAAATTGCACTCCCCATCTTACGAAAGTAGAGCATAGGTAAGCTTTGATTATGGCGCATGGGTGTTATTCAAGATACTCCCTAGATAACCCCTACTAGGGACCCAAGTCCCATAATCCATGACAGTAGAAGAGAGACGCTGGGCAGTTGTTAGTAAGCTACTGGAAGGCTCGTGGACACTTTCAGGTCTGACTATAGATGAATTAACTCACGGCGAGATCGACGGATTGATGAAGTCTTGCCCCCACACACATATACATATATATATATGCATTGATATGACATTTGCAATCATCAACAATCATACATATATCTATACATGTACATATACATGCCACAACAGTCGAAATTTGAGTACAACGTGTCAAGTCTCAAGGTTGCGCTCGTAATGTAGAAGCCTGAATATTTGGGTTTAGGGTTTAGCGTTATGAGTATTTCGGAATATCGTCCATGTAAAAGGCTGACAGACCTGGAGCATAGCCTGACACAACCGGAGCATATTGTCAAACCCCAAACCCTTTCCAAGTGTTTAGGCCCTTACTGCATGCTCAAAAAGAGGGCACAGTAGACAGTCTTACACCCCCGGGACGAAAGTTTC